GAAGCTGTTCTTAGAGTCATAGAATTATACAGCATGGAAACAGACCTTTAAGGCCAACTCATCCGTGATGACCAGGCATCCCAATCTGACCTAGTCCCATTTGCCAGCATTTGGCCCATTACCTCTAAGCCCTTCCTATTCATATACCCATCCAGATGCCTTTTAAATGTTGTAATTGTACCAGCCTCCACCACTTCCTCTGACAGCTCATTCCATATACACACCACCCTCTGCATGAAAATGTTACCCCTCAGGTCTTTTTTAAATCCTTCCCCTCTCACCTTAAACCTATGCCCTCTAGTTTTGGACTCTCCCACTGTAGGAAAAAAGACCTTGGCTATTCACCCTATCCATGTCCCTCATGATTTTATAAACCTCTAAGGTCACCCCTCAGCTTCCAATGCTCCAGCGATAAAAGCCCCAGCCTATTCAGCCTCTCTCAATAACACAAGATCTTCGGGTCCTGGCAACATCCTTGAAAATGTTTTCTGCACCCCCCCCAGGTTCTTAAATCTGTCAGTAAGTGTTTTCAAACTTTTGTATCTACTGCCCGATTGAAGAGAGTATGACCGAGATTGGAGGGGTCTTTGATTATGTTGGCTGCTTTTCCGAGACAGTGGGAAGTGTAGACAGAGTCAAATTTACTAGGTGTCCACTGATCACATTTACAAGAAAATTACCTGGCAGGGGATTTTGAAAATAGTTTCAAAGGATAGATGTTACTTGTTATTTATCTAAAAATGAAGAAGAGGATAATGACTATTTTAAGCATTCTCCTACAGAAATTTAGACCCAAAGGGCTGAATTTTGCTGAAAATTGGCAAAGTGTCAATTTGCATGAGTTTCATTGAGGGGTCCTCTCTGTGAGCTCTAGTGACATGCCTCACACAATTCTCCACTGCCCATCTCATTGTGTATGTACCGTATGCCGCTCTCACGGTATCTTGTGTTCACCAGCAGTGGAAGTACTCATCGCTGCCAGCACCTGCAGGGATTTTCACCATTGGTGCCATATTTAAAGCTCAGACGTACACCAGGTTAATCATTAGTAGCCACTTCACTGTGTACGTAGTGGGAGGGAAATGATAAAGAAGGGCTTCTGAGGGTGCACAGGTTGGCACAGGTGACACTTTGTTGCAAATAAACTCTTGCATTCATAAATATATTGTTACTTTACATCATCACCTATTTGATCAGCTGTCATAGTAAGTACAGGTAGAAAAATGAAACTACGCTGTCCTTTGCAACATATCATGTTAGAACCCTGACTAAACGAGTACTACTCTTTCCTTAATGCCTCTGGTGTAGTATAATATCCTGCCATTATTCAGCATGGGAGCATCACATGCTGGAAAGCCTTCAAACTGTTAAAAGTGCTTCCTTTTGCTGCTGCTCAATAAAGTCGAAAAAAGTTGCGTTTGCTTCTGAGAATGAACAGGGGCTGCTAGCATTTCGAGCAGCAATAAATTTACAGTCAGTGAATGATCACTGCACCCAATTCAGATCTATTGGAAGTAGTTGTCAATTAATTTCTATTTGGCCATGTTGCACCCAACATGACACTCTAACATAGTGAAAGCGATGTTCCTCTTGCCCGATTGCTTCATCTTCCTTCTTGAAAGACTGTTGACGTTCTTTCAGTTCTTCAGCATCCATCACATCCCTTCTTTACCTGCTTCAACTGTGCAGAGTACACCATGCAAGCAGTATATGGTGCACTCTGTTTGGACAGTACTGTAAAACCTCCCAGACCGATGCAAGCCTTGGAACCTCATGTTTAGGAAGCTTATTGTCATCTTCACGATGACCCTGGAGGAAGAATGGGCTGCATGGTTCTACATTTGTCCTCAGTGACAGGGTGGTGCAACTGAGGCAATTGTCACAGTTACAGAGGATAGCCCTTATCTCCCAGTAACCATTTTTACAAGGCATCTGGCCCTTCAAACAAAGCACGAATCTGACAGTTATCACTGATATCTGCATCATGACAGTTCCCAGTGTGTGTGGCGTAGACTTCTAAGGTCTGGTACCGGTGATTCAATGACTTGTACATTGATGGAATGGAACCTTTCTCCGTTGCTGAAATCAGCTACTTGGTGATATGTTGCTCTCAATGTGACATGTGTCCAGTCTATAGCACCATGTATTGAAAGATCCTATGCAGGTTCCCAGTGGATCCTTGGAAGCAGCCAAATGCAAAAAATGTTGCACAGCTGTCACCTTGGCATTCACTGGCACAGGATGGTTACCCATTCCTTTACCTTACAGTACCCACCACAACAGTTAGCATCGTTCCAAGACAGTGTCTTGGACCAATCTCAGTCCTTAGCACCAATTTGCCTTGCTCACCTGGAAGAAACAGCATTGAGGACAATAGACTCTGGGCCTCCTCCATATCCTAAGGGATCTTCAGCTGCAACTTCTTCATGTGGAGGCTGTTTGGCATCTGCTGGAGGTTGTTGCTAGTCCTGGGCTTGCTGGTGCATCTGTTCAATCTCAATTTTGAATGTTGTTTCATCACGGACACGAGTGACAATAACTCCTGCTGTGGCTAGGTCCACTGGTCACAGTTCTGATGAACTATGTGAAGAATATCAGAACCACAACAAGTCCTTGGTAATGTGAGCATTCAACACTTGCAAAACATACAGTTTGGTATAGTCCTCCACACAGGGAGACACGGAACATTCCAACAAAGAAGACCAAGGAATGGACCTTTGACATAGTAATCCTTATTTAGGTGTATTCAGCTCAAGCCATGTCACATTAATTCAGTAGGGGGTTGTAAGTGTGGTAGACTTAATAACACATTGTTCACTCCAACCCCACATTATCCAAAGAAAGGTAGTATTGTTAGTATTGTTAGCAAAAAAACTTACAGTTCAAGTTGGGAGGAAATCATGTCCACATACTTGTGTAGCTTGTTACTTCTTGGATTGTCTTTGTGAATGTGGCCCCTTGGTAACACTTTCAAGGTTACCTGTGATCAATCCTGCTTCATGGGGATGGCGATGATAGTATCTGGCCAGGATTTGCATCCCACATGGTTGATCACTACATGCTTTTCAAATGCAGGACTCTATGACTATAGATGTCTTTGACCTGCATTGTGGAAGTTTCTGATTAATGCAAACAGCCTCAGGTGAATAAAAGCTCTTACTCTGCCCACTCCAGGTATGGTAGCAGCATTTTTCGTTTCCATTGTGCAGTTGGGATTTGAATGAGAAAACAATGGAAATGCTTGGCAGAGTGAGTTGCAGGATCAGTCTGGTAACCTGGCTGACCCACTCCAAACATCTGCATTCCTTTCTTCCTTGACCTCATCAGATCTGAGTTTCTACATGTTCTCACACAACTCTTTCATGTAAATCTTCATCTCCCAATAATTCCCCACTGGTGACCATTGATGGTATCTTCTCCCTCAGTAACCCATGTCCTCCAAAGCATTGTAGCATCCCTCCCTTATATGTTGAGCTGTCTCCATCACAATTATTGACCCTCTGCATTCCAGCATGTTGCATCCCAACTCTATAGCTGGCTTCCTCAATTTCCCTACAACTGTGTTGGCCCTGATAACCTGTTTTGACATAGAGTGAACAGACCCCAGGACTGACTGTGACCACTCTCCTTACCGACTCGGAAGGACAGCTTGACTGATGAGTGGCTAGATCCTTGACCGATCTCTCTGCAACTCCCTACAAATCCCTGGACTGGATGCACTGGAACCTGCAGGACTGACCATTGCCCACTGGACTGTAGTGATATGCAGCCCCTGACCCTGTCCAACTCCAAGCAGCCAACTGACTGCGTCCAAGCCCTCAGCTGATATTAGATGCTGGAATTGACTGACTGACTGTGGCAGGACACCCCTGACTGATGACAGTCAATTTTGATTTAACTAAGGACTACTCCCCTTAAACCTTGAGGTGTAGACATTTGCAGCATTTTGCCACTTAAGCTGCTGGCACATAGTGCAGGTGTGAGCCTAATATAAAGTGGTGCCATACAACAACACGTCCTCTCCTTCACTCATCACTGCTGACAACCGGAACAATTTTTCTGGTTTTGTGCCTGACCTAAAAGGCAAGGGAAGACAGGGGCATTGTGAGCCAATAAGTTCTGAATGACGCAGCAAAGCACAACAAGGCACGGCAGTGGTGCTGCGAGCATCGAAGTAGGGGAGAACTGCATGAGAGCTAAGACACCAAGCAAAGAGAGATGCACCCTGCTCTGATGCATGAGATGGGTGTGTGACACTGCGAGCAAAAGAGCTGAGCAGCTCATTACAATACAAGGTGTTGGGGTGCTCCAAAGTGCAGTGTTGAAGTGAATAACTAAATTCTAAATAAGTCAGAGATGTGCCATGATGACGTAATGAGGCTGTGTTCAATGCCAATCTCCATAGACAGGGTTGGGAGAAATGCAAGTAATTGCTATCCACAGAGCGTACCCTAAGATCTACTGAACCAAGGCAGAACCCTGGAGAAGCAAGCTGGAGTTGCCAAGTACCCACACTGACTGTCGTGTCTGAATTATCACTGTCGAGTTTCACCCTGTCATGTCACAGGACAGCAAACAGCATATAAATGAGGAGAGAATAGGGAGTGATTAAATGTTAATGCATACTAAAGGGTCTCTCACCGCTAACTAGCAGGATTCTCGTCTCACTGTTCCAACCTGCGTGCAAAATTGCACTTTTTTTCCCAAACATCCAGAGTCTCAATTTTCAGACCTTGCCATGTTTACCCAATTGATTTTTCAACGCACATGTCCTTTGGGGGCTGGGAGAACTCCACCCAGTATGTTTGAATCTAAAGTCTGTTGCCTCAATTAAAAGTGTCATAGTTAAAGCATTATTATAGGGAAAATAAAATGCAACTTAACAGTAAAATATCTGGTATTTGGCAATGCACCAGCAATCATTTGAAGTATTCACACATTCCTGTACCCCAGTGGGCACCCCATTCCAACTCCACCACAACCTCACTTGATAAATGTACCTCATCAACATCTGCATCAAAAGTAGAGACCAATTCTGCTAGGAATTGGATCGCTTCTGGTGTCAATAGGGTTTGGAATTCTACCTTCAAAGATGGAGGAGGTGGCTCGAGTTCCACTCCAGTTATCGTCTGCAACAGAACAAGTGCGCTCAATTTAGTGTAAGTTTTTCAAGCAAATTATGTTTGGAGTAAAACAATCTTTCTTACAGAGCAAGTGTCTTACTTCACAAGCATGTACTGTGTATTGTTTTTAAATTACAAGTGTATCATTAGAAATAACATTATTTAAAAATAACTTTAAAACAACTCGCAATCCAATAATTTTCATTTTTAAAAATTACTCATGGTTTGACCTATGATTAATGAATCTGATCCTCCATCTGACCAAATGGTAAGTGGCTCAGTGGTTAGCACTGCTGCGTCACAGCAGCAGGGGCCTGGGTTTGAGTCCAGCCTCAGGTGACTGTCTGTGTGGAGTTTGCACATTCTCCCCGTGTCTGTGTGGGTTTCCTCTGGGTGCTCTGGTTTCCTCTCACAGTCCAAAAATGTGCAGGGTAGGTGGATTGGCCATGCTAAATTGCCCAGTGTCCAGTGATGTGTAGGAAAGGTCAATTTGACATGGGGAATGCAGGGTTATGAGGGGCGGGGGGAGTAGGTCTGGGTGGGATAGCCTTCAGACAGTCGGTGTGGACAAATGGCCTGCTTCCACACTGTAGGGATTCTATTCTAAAACAAAATGACAGATCAGACAAAAATTCTAGTTTGAATCAGGACTAGTTTTAAATCTTATCTCCAGTAAAAACAATATTCTACTAGCAGTAATAGGAGCCCACAGGTGATAGAGATCACTTTAGAATATGGTAAATGCCAAAGAATCATTTTACCACCTACAGTGGATAATATGGAAGTGTAAAGTCTAACATTTACTGGTGCGAGACTTCAAATGCACAAGGTACAAAGAGATCCATAGCCATCAAAAACAGCAGCCTATCAAATAGATAACTTCTGTTTGTTTTAGTTAGTGACTACAACTCTGCCATTCTTTAAACCTTGTGACTTAACTCATTTGAATTGGTGAAAATAAAGTGCTTTTCATACTTACAGTAATTTGTTGCAGTGTTGCTGCCATGATCAGTTTTCTTGTGGGAACTAGGTGAATATTGCTGATTCAGAGTTTACATTTACTTTCTGTGTTTAATCTGATATATTTCACAAACTGAGTCCAATGACCTTCAATCTCTGATGGTATCATCTGACCTCAATTTGTTTCCAGCCAATGACAATTCAACTAAAAACAAAATGGAAGAAATTGCTGTGAATTTACCAGATATTCACATTATTCATATAATGCTTTGTATCATCATTTTGGATGAAATTACTATATTTGCTGATAGATTTTCAATCACCATGAATTGGAAACAATGCTCTTTGATATCTAATTTTAGAAAAAAAAAATGTTGATTTACTGCTGTTTTCTTATTTTTTTCTTCTAAAGGCAGTCGGGATTCAGGCTTATTGGTGCTAATGCGTCCACGTGACATCGGATAGATTTTTCTAAAGTGGGGCACAGACTGGAATGTTTTTTCACCGAAAGCTCAAAGTTCCTTTGCAACATAACTGGTAAACTGAAAAGATCATGACAAGAGTAATGAAATATCTTTTCTGTTCTATTATTTTTTCATGAGAGGTCAGCACTATTTATCCCTAGGTGTTCTTGAGAACGGGGTGCTGAGCCACTTCTTGAGTGGCTTCAGTCAATGTGATATTGTCACACCCACAGTGTTCGTAGGAAGAGAGTTCCAGGATTTTCACCCAGTGAAAGTGTTGGAATGGTAACAGAACTCTGGAACCTCTGTGAATGGAGTAACCAAATTATATCTTCTTAACCAATGGGGGCAGGCATTGAGCAAGAACGATGGGAAATGAAGGAGGAGAGAGAATTAGATTTGGTGAATTTAAGTCAAATTAGCCCAGGAAAAGAAACACCAAACAGAAGAGATGAAAAACTGAATTAAGTGATAGAGGAACAGAGACAGAAGAGAGAAAAGAATTAAATGTGACATTTAAAATCTCCCGCAAGTTACTTTCTGCATGAATGAGATTGAATACTTTAAACTGATGTCTTTTCTGCCCAATGATGTTGACTAACATTGTATGAACAATTAACAAATAGCTATAGAGTGATAGGGTTGTACAGCACAGAAACAGACCCTTCGGTCTAACTCGCCCATGCTGACCAGATATCCTAAATTAATCTAATGTCATTTGCCAGCATTTGGCCCATATCCCTCTAAACCCTTCCTATTCATGTACTCATGGAGATGCCTTTTAAATGTTGTTATTGTACCAGTTTCCACCACTTCCCCTGGCAGCTCATTCTATACACGCACCACGTTCTGCATGAAAATGTTGGCCCTTAGGTCCCTTTTAAAGCTTTCTCCTCTCACCTTAAACCTATGCCCACTAGTTGTGGCCTCCCAAACTCTGAGTAAAAGATCTTGTCTATTTACCCTATCCACGCCCCTCATGATGTTATGAACCTTATAACTTGGTTTCAATACACACAGATAAGAAAAATCACACTTTAAACTGGAACAACACTACTATCATAGGACAAGCCAAACAGAGGTCAGCCACGGAATTCTTGGAGGCTTGGCATTCGTTCGCAGACTCCATCAACAAACACGTTGAATTAGACCTGATATACCGACCATTACAACACACAGCCATAACCAGCACGTACCGGAAGCAGCAAAAACCAGACCATATAAATTCGAACCGGCACAGGACAACAGCGCTGAGGATGTTACCTAGTAAGTGGACAAAATGTCTGCTATCAAACCTCCCAGCTCGGTGAACACACCAATGTCTACAACAAAAACAAAGTTGCTGGAAAAGCTCAGCAGGTCTGGCAGCATCTGTGAAGGAGAAAACAGAGTTAATGTTTCGGGTCTGGTGACCCTTCCTCAGAACTGATGGTGGCTGGGAAAACGTCAGTTTATATGCAGAGAATAGGGAGGTGGGTGGGGTAGGGAGTAAACGATAAGATAGAGCACAAAGAGAGAGAAAGACAGTTGGACAGACAAAGGAGTTGCTAACGATCAGGCTGGGAGGGTGAATAGTTGTTAATGGGGACTGTTAGTGACTAACAACAGGGGGTGTGTAGTGGCAGGCTATGTGGTAACAAGGCCTGGTGTGTTGGGTAGGGGGCTGGGACATGGGAGAGTTTAGGCCCTAAAATTATTGAACTCAATATTGAGTCCGGAGGGCTGTAGGGTCCCCAAGCGGAAAATGAGGTGTTGTTTCTCCAGCTTGCGTTGGGCTTCACTGGAACACTGTAGCAAGCCGGAGACAGAGACGTTGGCCAGGGAGCAGGGTGGTGCATTGAAGTGGCAGGCAACAGGTAGTTCAGGGTCTTTTTTGCGAGCAGAACGTAGATGTTCTGCGAAGCGGACACCAAGTCTACGCTTCGTTTCCCCAATATAGAGGAAACCACATTTTGAGCAGCGAATGCAGTAGACTAGATTCTTGGAAGTGCAGGTGAAGTGTTGCTTCACCTGGAAGGTATGTTTGGGCCCTTGGATACTGGGGAGGGAGGAGGTAAATGGGCAGGTGTTGCACCTTCGCCGGTTACAGGGGAAGGTGCCGTAGGGCTGTGGGGAGGTGTTGGGGGTGAAGGAAGTATGGACCAGGGTGTCCCAGAGGGAACGGTCCCTGCGGAAGGCGGACAAGGGAAGGGAGGGGAATATGTGTCTGGTGGTGGCATCTTGCTGGAGGTGGTGGAAATGGCGTCTGATGATCTTCTAGATGTGGATGCTGGTGGGATGGTAGGTGAGGATAACGGGAACCCTATCGCTGTTGCGGGAGAGAAGAGAAGGGGTGAGGGCAGAAGTGCGGGAGATGGGTTGGACCCGATTGAGGGCCCTGATGACAACGGAGCTGGGGCATCCTCGGTTGAGGAAGAATGTGGACATTTCGGAAGCTCCCTTGTTGAAGTTGGCCTCATCTGAACATATGCGACGGAGACGGATATGCAACATATGCAACGTCTACAACCTCTGTAAGGTCACCCCTCAGCTCCAGGGAAAATAGCCCCAGCCTATTCAGCCTCTCCCTATAGTTCAAACTCTCCAATCCTGGCAAATTCCTTGAAAATCTTTTCTGAATCCTTTAAAGTTTCACAACATCTTCCGATAGCAGGGACACCAGAACTGCACAGAGTATTCCAAAAGTGGACTAACCAATATCCTGTACAGCTGCAACATGACCTTCCAACTCCTATACTTAATGCATTGACAAATAAAGGCAAACGTACCAAACGCCTTCTTCAGTATTCTATCCACCCGTGACTCCACTTTCAATGAACTTGCACTTCAAGGTCTCCAAGTTAAAAAAAAGTAAGTTGTTATTTCTAGCTCCAACCTTTTGTGGTGAACACATGCAATGAATGTGCAGACCCAACAACTTAACAGAGAAGCTATGTGTCCAAATCATATAATGAAACATAAATTAACTGGCTCATTCTGGAGATTTGCAATTTACAATGAATCTCTTATTCCTCTGCATTACCTTGCTGATTGGGTCTGATTAACGCTATGTCTCACTCTGACTTCCATAAAAGTAACTGACCCACTTTGTAGCATCTTGGGGAATCCCAGGTATGAAATAAGGGACAAAATAAATACAGAGATAGTAGGAACTGCAGATGCTGGAGAATCCGAGACAACAAGGTGCAGGGCTGGATGAACACAGCAGGCCAAGCAGCATCATAGGAGCAGAGAGGCTGACGTTTCGGGCCTAGACCCTTCATCAGAAAATAAATACAAGTCCTTTGCTCCTAATAGTGCTCCAACACATCACCCAAATGGCTCTCCTTTCTGAGTTTCAACATTGAGATGTAGATCCTGCCATCTTATTGTTGTCACTGAATTTGACCAGCAACAAGTTGGCAGACTGACCTGGTAATATAATAAGTTGGGAATTGGGTGAGAACAGCACTTTTATAGAGAAGGCAAAGTGGGAGGCAGCAGCAAGAGGACTTGACCTAGGTATAGTTGGATGAGTCGTTGCAGTAAAGCTACAGGGCACGTGTGAGCTTGGCACAGAACAGCCAGGAGTGACATATCTTGACAACAAATTTCGTGGCATGTGTAGCTATAAGCAGCAGCCACAAAACAGCATAGATAGAACAGAGGGAGTAGTTAGGGAAAGAAAAACTAATTGATCTGTTATATACAGGAAAAGAATAGAGGTAAAAGAATGAGATGTTCTGTTGAAAGGAACATTCAAGCAAGAATAATAAAGTGCACGTACTGCAGCACTCACTGTGGGAAATAGGCGCAAGAAAATAACATCAATAATATCACAGGAAGACATAGTTATAAATGCAGTAATAGCTACAAACTTGATTGGGATGATAAATAAATGTATGAAGTTATATTTTTATATGCACAAGCGGCAGTATCGGAAGGAAGATGTAAGGAGAGAATTTGCATATGCAAGAAAGGACAATTAGACAGTCAGGGATTTTTTTTAAATCAAAGAGTTAATACATGCCACTGAAAAGGACACTGTTAAAAGAATCACTAGATAATTGAAGAGGCTAAAACAATGTTAAACGAAAAAGATCGTATAGGGTTATGAGGATGGTAAAAATAAGGTAGATAGGATAGACTAAAGGAAGAAGTTAAGAGAATAATTAGAAAAACAAAGCAGAGGCAACACTGTGGCAAACTGTTACCCAGTTAGGATCCAAGAAATATAAATTCTATATTAACCTTCTAAATATTAGGAATTGTCAAGGAACAAATATACTGATGACCCCAAGTAGACAACTCATTTAAACCAGTCGAACCAGGAACATTCCTCATCATAATGGGAGTTTCAGCACTCTACACCAGCATCCCCATGACAACGGCATCGCTGCAACAGCCTCAGTACTCAATATCACAAACTGTCAATTTCTAGACGCCATCCTACAACTCATCTGCTTCATCCTCGGTCTGCACCTTCGACAACCAGTTCTTCATCCAGACACATGGAGCAGCCATAGGGACCAGATTTGCTCCCCAGTATGCCAATATTTTCATGTACAGGTTCGAACAAGACCCCTTTACAAGACCAATGCTATACACCAGATATACTAATGTCCTTTAGGGAAGGAAACTGCCATCCTTACCTGGTCTGGCCTACATGTGACTCCAG